CAAATAAGGAAAAGGTAGCAAAATAATGTGCTGTTGAAAATTGTGAAAAGGGAACCAGTAAAATCAGTGAGTCTACTACAAAACAATATATTTAACTCTGCTATAATTGTCTCTAAATAAAATAGGAAGGCAAAAACCAAATAAAAGGATTTTGGTGTAGAAGAGAAGAAGAGAAAACAATATATGTAAATCTGCTTTTATAAAAATTATTTTAAATAAAAACAATGATATTAAAATTGTATGAGAAAAATAATTAAAATCTTGGAATTGTGTAAAAATTAATATAAAAATTATTCTAATAAAAAGATAATATTAAGATTGCATGAAAATGTTGCAATGTGTAAAGATTAATATAAAAATTATTTTTAATAAAACATAATGTTGGATTGTATGAAAAACTAATTACAAAGATTAGAATGTTATTAACATGGTTTCTTTTCAAAGAAACTGTCAAAATACAGCCAGGCAATTTATAAAAAAGAAGAAAACATGAATAAATATTAATGTGTGAAGATTTGAAAAAAAAAAGGTTACAAATTGATGTTTTAAAAACCCACCAATATGAAGCCAGATGGTTTCAACATACTGGGGTAAAACTTAACAGGGGATAGGCTTGGTTTTGATGTCAAAACCTAGCCAAATTTGAATTGAAAATGGGCACAGTTTGATGAGATGAAGATTCATGACTTTTTAACCAATGGGGTAAAAAGTAAACATCCCACACCTGGGTGAGAAAGCTGTGATCTGGAGAGAAAGGATTGACTATCTGAGGCATGTTAAGTTCACTCCTATTACTACTACTGCTGATGGCAATGGATTTGAACACCTGGGAGAGTAAATCTGTGACCTGAGATGATAAAAGACTCCTTCTGCTACTACTACTGCTGTTGAATCTAACTTTTATATGTGAATGTTTTTCTAATCATGAGTTTTATCTGACTTTTATAAACTTATAAGTTTATCTCATTCCAATGTCTTTTCTAAGACTGCAAGAGTTTATCTCATATATCAAATTGCCTATTCTGAAATGCTGAATATTTTGTCTAAAGGACTCAGAGAATCAGCTTTGCCTGAAATAGGTCAACCCTTTCTCATTCCCTTTGACCCTTCAACATTTTGAATTGTGAACTTTTCAAAATAAGTAAATTTCTTTTGTTGGTTAGAAATTGATTTATATGAACTTTTATTCTAAAAGGAAGTTGCTAAAGTTCCCTAGTTAAAGAAAAAATTGTTTTTCATGGATTGTTGTTTTCTAAGAGAAAACAGATTTGTATTTTGAAAGAACTGTTAACTGCCTTGATAGTTTGAGGTGCATAAGGGAAATTTTAGGCAAGTCTTATATTGTATTTTGTACAATTTGTATATTGTAAAAATATTTTATTATTTTAATAAATATCTGTTTCTGTACAAATTTCACATTGACCAAGAGTCTTGTCTTTTTTGTTTGTGCTTTTAAAAGTATATTCAAAATGAAAGATAAGAGATTTTAAATCCTACATTGAAATCATCTCCCTCCTTTCTTGCCTCTCCACCTCTCTCTCCTTTATTTTTTCTTTTTACTTTTGTTGTCTCCAAATAAAATAGGAATGACAACAGCCAACTAACAGAGGAGGAACAATTTGTTCTTCCATATGATTTCTGAATGAACAAGTTTACAAAGAATAAAAATAAAATGACCAATAAAAGGGCAGGTTTCATACAAGCATCAGATAATTACTAAATGAATGTTGGGTGGCCTTGCAGATATCTTGTTGTTGAATATTTTGTTGAAAAAATAATAAATAAATTGTTACATGCCTTTTTCTCTGACCCTGAAAAATAAATTGAGGACAGTTCAAAGAGCTATCTTTATCCTTAAGTCAAGAATATATTTTCGTCTCTGGTGTCTGAAATCTCTATCTTTTTGTTAAAACAGGACTTTTGCTGAGTGACCATGAAGAAGGCTAAGAGATTCACAACTGACCAAGCACAGTACATAATGGGAAAGAGGAAGGAAAGTTATCCCAATAAATTTGATGAAGACATTTTGAAATTCATTAAGGAACAAAATATTTGAGTATAAATTGGTCAGTTGTGTATGTGATAAAAGAGGATGTCCAGTTGTGAATAGCACAGAGTCATATTGATGATCAAATTCTGACTGAGCAAATGTTAGAAATAACTGACAGTAATACAGGACCAAATCTAGTGCATTCTTTGTTCACCTGGTGTGAACAAAGATTCACAAAAACTTTCAGTTATAACAAGAACATCTAAATAAAAGATTAATAAGAATACTTGAAGCACTTCCCATGCTTTTGGACCAATTTGAACAAGTGGAGAAAATCAATGCCATTCTCAGTTAAGCAGAAGTCCAGGTGTCACTACCTGCTTATGCATACAAATGCTTACACAATATCTGCATAGTAACAGACACTGATATCTTTAAATATCCTCATTAGTCCATACCAACCAATGAAATACCTTCCTGCTTAAATCCAAAATTCCATCTGGGAGCCTACCGAGGGTTATTTAGGAAGCAGGCCCAGACAATGGAAAGAGAGAGAGTGAGAGAGAGAGGTACACACACAAACAAACACATGATGCTGTTTCCATCTTTATGATCAGATTGAGAGATCATCTTGCAGACAATTGAAGAATACAAATTACTCCACCATAGAAATATGATATGGAATACGAAGTCAAACAATGACTTCATACAACTCATAAGCTAATCATGCTTGAAGCAACAAAAGATTAGATTTAAGCACTTTTTCTAACATCATCAGTATGAACACTGAAAACTTTGACCCACTGAAGACAAATTATCATGCAGCTAAGTAAAATAAGAACTCTCTCTATATCTATCTCATAACACTGCATTCACATCCACTGTGAATAAATTCACTTAAATTTGTTGCATTTTGTTTCCGTAAATAAATATTGTTAACATTCAACATGTCTTTCCTCACATCATTTATGCTGCATGGCTGAAAGGAGGAATACATTTTGATCAAATCCTTCTGATATTTATACAGATCAAATTTCTGCAATTTCTCCTTCTTACCATCTGTGACACAGGTGGTGGATTGATATTAAAATATATTTTTTTAATTGGAACATATTTAATGCCATTACTGATGCACTGTTTCTAGTGAGTAGATGATGCCCAACAAGGACTCTCAATGTGGATTAAAAGGTCACATTTTTACTGTCGGTTACTCTTGCTATTTACAGAAGAGAAGGAAAAGAGCAAATTATATTGACAGATAGTTAAAAAAAAGGAAGAAAAAATTTATGAAATTAGCAGTAGTGTGGGTGTGTTTGTGTGTGTGTGTGTGTGTGTGTGTGCGCACACGCACAACATGGTTTGCTGAAATCAAGCAGTTGGCCTGCCTAGGGTGTGTCTTCCCATGGAAAGACTGGACAACATCTTGTACCTACAGCATGCTTTATTTGAGAGAGTGAAAAAAAAAATAAAAAGAAAGAGCTAGTGAGTCCTTTACTTTTATATCATTGATTGCTTAACACCACTAAGCGTCATGGCAAAGTTCATTAGCAGACAAGGTGGAATAATTCCACAATATGAAATACCCCTAAAAGGTGATTGCTTTATTTTGAAATACCCAACCATTTCTCATATATTAATATAAAGGGTGTTTCATTAAGATGGATCAAAGTCAGCAGTAAATAAATCAGTGTTATTGGTGAAAATTTACTTATTTCTCTTTTGGATCATGTTATTTAAGTCATGGCAATTATGTTTGAAAAATAATATTGGCCAAATGTCCGCCAAGGCTTTGACGGCACACCTCCACTCAATGGTCATAGTTGCTCCTCGACCTCACCAATATGCCTTATTATCTCATCCTTCAGCTGTTGAATTGTTGTTGGCTTGCTGACATAGACCTTACTTTTGAGATGATCCCAAAAGAAGAAATCTAAAGGTGTCGAGTTGCATGATCATGGTAGCCAATTGGCTTCACTGTTTTGAGAGTTGATGCGACCTGGAAACTTCTCATTCAAATTCTGTTTGAACATCCATTTTTATAATAGGCTTCAATAACTTTAACATGTTTGATTGTTAAACTTTCCATGGTTGAAATTGCCAAAGACTTAAGTTATTAAATCTGAAAGAAAAAGAAAAAAATCATTAGATGCTTAAACTTAATTCACATTTAAAACCAATTCAAGTTATAGGCTCATTAGTGCTCAAGCAACAACTTTGGTTTAATCATTGATGATAAAAATAAAATTATTCAAGACAATATTACAGAAAAATGGATTTAATTGCCAATGATATTAGTCTTCCTTCCAAATTGGTTGATTAAAGTTGAATTTATAAAACAATATAAACATTGAACTAATTCTCTAATATTCCACAGTGAAATTTAAAGTTATGTATATTAAAGATGTATGTATTGATTTGTTTGTGTATAAAATCTTTAGATTTAAAATGTATTGTTTTTATGGTATAAAGTTTGTAATAAAAAGAAATAGTTTTTGAAAAGAACTTGTCAAAAAATTGATAAAAAATCTTATGTGGGGATGAATGTCCAAACTCAGCTATCACTTAATGTAGTTACAAATTTACCTGCATCTATCTTACAGTTAAAAGAATTAAATCCGTACTGTCAGCTTATGAAAGGACTAAACCAGAACTTTTAGAGAATCTGATGAAAGCCCCTGCAATAGCTGGTTGTCTGTCATTTTATCTCCAGAACATGCTGGCTATAGCTATACATATATATGCATGAGTGAAGAAATTGCTAGGTACAAGTTTATTCAGACCCTGCCTCAATAATTAGCACCAGTTATAGCTACTTGGACAGAGACATCTTTAGTAGAATTAGAGAAATTATCCAATGAGCTGATGCCTTTAGTAGCTTCTGTGTTACAACTGTTAAGTAAAGATACAAATAACAAAATAGTACCTTCCATGCAAAGTGAAATACCTGTGGGTCTGTGACCTTTCTATCCAAAAAAAAAAAAAGAAGTTATATGTAGAGCACATCTCTACTATGCAGAACAGGTCAGGACATGTAGACCATGGTGTATATGGAAACAGAAGAAACACAATGTACAAGTATTACAAATTTCTTGTTCTGCCTCTCCCAGCTCTAATGAGTTGGAAAAATTAGTCGGGCAGTCAACATTAGCTTCATCTGATGTGCCACTTTTAGAAGTCAGCCACTCAAACTCTCCAAGGTCTTCTGATAAAAATACTTCAAACAAATGAAAAGAATTCTTCAACAGAAACAGGAAACTTCTTCTGCAAGTATGCCCACTGTTGCTCCCACTGAGTCATAGATTTCTAAATTCCAGTCTCATATAAATGTTGCTGATTCATCTAAAACACCTGCTACTAATCAAATAGTCTGATCTGCATCTTTGGAATTATCTAAGTATAAGAACTTAGATATTGCAACTGACAAGTCTTCATCCAAATCCTACAAAGATGTATCCAGTATGGTTTTGTTCCATACAGTGAGTATAAAACATTCATCGCCAAATCATTGAGTTCCTGTGACAAAATATTGCTTAGGGTTGATCGAGTCAGAAAACTGTTAGAAGTACTCTATATGGGGTCATATAAAGTTCTGACACAGTCAACTAAAAATTTCATGATTTATATGAACAATGGAACCTATGCACATGTAGCTTGATAGGTTAAAATCTTATATCAGGCTCACTAAAGATAAAATTAATCCCAGTAAAACAGATAAAGCAAACAAAAAGGAGTTCATGGCTGGCAATGAAAATAATACAACAGTCAGTTGTCACGGTTATGAATATTTCTTTGAGTTGTGTGAATATTCCTTTGAATGGTGTGTAGTTGTCACTGACTGAGGTATTGTCATGGTAATGAGAGAATTCTGGTTGGGTTTTTACAGATCCAACCACCTGTTATCGATGGGTGATCCATGTCCAGTTGCTGGCTGGGGTTTTGCTGTGTGTGACTTTATTGCGCCCAAAATCAGTGTATATATAGTTATCCTGATCATGTGATTGGCTCTAAATGAAAGCTTTTCAGATTACAAGGGATCATACTCAGCAACCAGGTCATTTGGAGTTCAAACATACAGACATAGTTGGAAGCATAGCACGTGACTGTAATGTCCAATCAAATTCCAGAAACTATTTATTCAATTTTGGATTTATTGATTTGTACAAAAGTTTTTGCTTTAGTGATTCTAATCCTATTTATGTGTGGGTGCTTCTTACTCATTTGTGTTTCACCTATTAGTTGTAAAATATAGGATTTTATATCCTATATACTCTTCAAGTAACATACTTTAAAACGGAGATGAGCATTTTTCTGTTAAATATTCATGTATATTTTGTGTCTACTATTATGTCTACACATGAGGTATAAATAAAAGAATCAAGCAGTCTGAATTAAAATCTGTGTAATAGGCTGAGTAGCAGCCAGATATAACAGTCCAAGTCGAAGACATTAAGAAATCTTCTTGTGTCTAATCTATTTTCTTTTGTCTGTCTTCATAAGAAAAAATTGGATACAAAAAATTTTGTAAATTACCTCAACTATTTCTGGAATATATAAATGTGTTATTTACACTTTATCTGCTTCTTTTTCTTTGTGGATGAACTGAATATTTTTACCAAACCAAATTTTCATGCCCTAAACCTCGCACAGAACCTTTACTTTTGTATAAGGACAAAATATTCTTGTCACATCCAGTATTTTTCCAAATTCTTTCCTGAACAGGTAACTCTAAATTTTAACTTATAATGTGATTCTGTTTCTCTACTGAGTCACTCTATGCTTGTTATGCCTTACTTAGTGATTGAACTCTCAACTTTTAGACAATTAGATGAATTTATTAGTGTCTTTATCTACAAAGCAATGTCTCATAGAACAATGTATATTAGCCTGAAAAAATCATCGAATAAGAAAATTTAATTTTAAAGATAGTTATCAGAACAAACCCATATTATATGAAATTAATTCAAAGATATTTACATGTTAAATATAAATTATTTAATTAATATTATTAATTATTTGATTACTAACTTCCTAAATTTCACCTGTGAAAATTGAGTTCTTACCTTACAAGGTATTGATAATTTGTCCAGATTCTTAACTATGCATTTGTAAAATCTTGTTTATTAAGATGAAAACTCATTCAGCTATATTTAGTTTTCCTATTTATTTTTTAATTATTTTTTGAATAGGTTTTGTATATCATAATGATGATCAAGTTCTTGTTAAGTAAATTTTAATTTTTCTTGCATTAAAAACATTAAGTAAAAGGAAAAACTGTTCAGAAAACAAATGAGAATGTTAATTATAATAACAGTGTTTGGATTGATTATCAACAATACTGAAGTGCATAAAATCCATAAAATGTTCACATATGAAAAAAGTAAAATGATTAAGACACTGAAATAAAGCATTACATTATTTGGCTCCAACAGTTGGCAGTTGACCAAAAATAATTTACTGGCCAGAAATATTTGAAACACCAATATTGTGGCGAACTTTGGTTGGTATAAAAAGTACACATACCGACTTTCATGATTATGATGATCATAATTTATATTGGAAGGGTAAAGTTAACAGTTGGTTAGTTTTTAACATAACCAAAAAATGAGAACTATAGACGGGGAACATTCTGAAATATATAATTTGGTAACTTATTTTAACTGATGCATAATAACTATGGGAAACGGACAAAAATCTAAAAAATTCAGTAGTCATAGTCATCATGTCTGATAAATGAAATGAGTCTTATTATGAATTAATAATAATATTCTTACGAAAAGAATGAAATGGACATTTGGAGTCCGCTTGAAAAATATTGCTGATTTTGTATAAAATATGTTTATGAGGCTTTAAATGTGTTGAAATTGTTTTTTTTTTTTTATTTGTTTACATACAAGTTATATGACATAGCGAATGCAAGGGTGATTCATTTGGGATCTTCAGTCACCAGACATGATCAAGCGATCAAATAAGATTGAAGACGAGGCTTCATTCCCAGCAGGTTACACAGCCACAATGACAAGACGGAGGCAGATGGGTTTGTTTATGTGGTAAGTCATTAAATTTCTTTCTTTTCATTATTAGATCATTTTCAGTCGATACTGTTATTAACTCCTGTACATATAGTCCTCAAGTATATTACTTTAGTGACAAGTATGCTTATCAGTTTTATGAAGTGTGTTGGCTTAGTAAATAAATAGTGATTAACGTTTATTGTCGCTGTACTTAATGGAAGCGCCACTTCTCACTCACTCTAGTAGCTCTGTAATTACTGCTAAGAATTTTTTCCTTAATACTACTCTCTCTTCTCATGGGAATTCTAGTAAAAACAACTGTTGTATAACAAATTGACAGCAACATATTTTAACATAATTCTCACCGAAAATAATTCTAAAACAATAGAAATCCAATCAAATGTAACATTGAATTGGCGATGGCTGTGTGTAGAGCAAAAATAAAGCGGGGAGGAGGATAGACATTCAAATTTTTCTCGTCAATAAAATGCTACTACACAGTACACAATTAATAAAAAGTAATATCACTTGGTCTTTATTACTGCGACCAAAACAAAAATATCTTTCTTTACGTTCACAAACAAGTTCCCCCTCACCACTTAACGTTTTTAAAATCGCAGATATTGCAGCCTCTGAATTTTATCGGTAACTTTCTTTCTAAATTCATCATTTTTTTATTGGTTGATTCAAAATATCTTTCATAATATTTAAAATTCCATTATTATCGAACCTGATACACCTTTTTGGCATGTTTTGTAGAGATACGCTTCGAGCATCGTTAAAAAAAACAAAAACGAAAAAAAACAAAAACTAGTTCTTAAGTACTTGGGATGATGGAAGCTATAATCACCAAATAAACGGCCATAGTAGTTTTCCAATATGGACTCAGTCGGATCTTTTATAACCCAAGAAGAGTACCGTGAACTGGTGCTTGTTTCTTTTACTTAGCTGAATTACTGCTTTCAAGTACACATCATTCGGATTTTCTCTTCTCATCATTCTTGATTTTCCATGTATATCTTAAGTTCAGTATCGTTTGATAGCACCTGTGAACATTGATCATCAGGTAGACAAGACTGACGATTGGTCATAAAAATAAAATGTAAAGTTTTCAATCAGGATTTTTCTGCCTGTGCAAAAATATGATTATCCTTTTGATAAATGAAAAAAACCTGATCATTTATACAAAATTCTTAAAGAAGGTGATCTATCGTGATTTTTGTAATCTGGTTTGTGTGTCACTGTGTACTCGAGATTCGTTCGGTGTAATAAACAGACGATGTTTGCAAATTACTTATGCTTCCTTTTTGAGTTTTATGATCAAACGGAAAACAGTATGCGTTTGTTTGTTGTAAATTAGAGATTTCATAGCCAGAAAGTACTTCTTTTTTTTTTTTTATTTCTGATTGGTATGATCACCTTTTGACAGTTGGCAGCAACAGAAGAGTTTGAATCAGTATTTACAATTTTATTTTACATTAATTAAATAAATTATATAGTCTTTTCGTAATTTGTAACTTATTTATTCTTTTTAATTTAGTTTCTTTGCAAGTGACCATGGCAAAACGATTGATCATTCAGCAATAATACATCACCTCATCAATTTCGCAGACAATGAGCACGAGGCAGTCTCTTATATAAAAAAAAAAAATACTTTTATATTCTGACTTTCCTAGACTTTGGAAGATTTCACTTCAGATTGGCTTTTTTCTCTAAATTACTTTCTGTTGCTGTTAAAATTTTAGATAACAATCACGAATATTTACAATTACATTGAATAATTGATTGCACTTTAAGATTATTACTACTCTGCTCTGTTGTTTTATGTAAATCTTTATAGCTTTGTAAATATCTGTTTGATTTCTAATTTTCAAGCCTTTGCGTTATTGTGAATACAGAAAAAACTAAGCTTTGAATGACAAAATCATGTCTCGCATGTTTGTGAGTAATACTAGGATCTAGGTATGGGCATGAAATTGGCAAAAATAAAATACATTTGTTTTACTTTTAACTTTGTGTCACCTCTTGAAAATATATTTTAAAAATAGACAAAGCAAGTAATGTAAGAATAGGATTATCTTGCTAGGTTAATTTACTCTACTACAGTTACGATTTATGTTTTTTAAATCACCGAAACCTCAAATTTTGCCTTTATTTTTCGAGTATTTATTTTTATTTGTCATTTGCATTTTTTTTCAAGACTAGGATTTTAATTTTCTACAATTTAAAGTTGAATAATTAACTAATAATAAAGAAATTTTTTTCTGGAAGAAATTCAAATGAAAAAAAAAGCAAAAACAAATTAAAATAGTGAACTATTTGTTTATTATTCGCAAAATGTTGATTTCGTTGATGCAGGGTCGTGTTTGACATTACAGTTCGCAAGAGTTGTATGCCACCTTTCTTCCCTTATTTTGTAGACCGTAATTAAAAATAAATAAAATTTTTAAAAAAATAAAAAATCTATGCCAGTCGAAACAACTGGGTGGTTATACGATCGTTTTGATTCACACTTCACAAAAACAAAGAAATCAAAACATGCTTATTTATTTAAAATAAAATTTTTAGCTAAAATTCGTTAATGCTTTCAAACTTTTTTTTAAACAAAAATAAAATAGTTTTTTCCTAAACTATTTCAATCCAAATTTGAAAAACAAACATAAACATTTCAACTGAGCTGTAAGAAACTAAAAAAATCCTTTATTACCGAAAATTTATCACAAAGAAAGGAACATAATTTAACGCTAAAAACAATCTTGCGCAATTGTCCTACTCCTTTATTAGGCTCTTATAATAAAATTACAAGTTGGTATATTGCTTGAGGCGTTTTTTTTTTTTATTGCTATTGGCTTCTAATAAATAGTCAAACTTTAAAGGAATATTGGCGGTTGCCCTTATGCAAGAAGGCCCTAGTTTAAAAAAAAAAAAAGGTAAGTTCAAAACTAGTTGTAAAAATAGAAATATTTCTTCCCCCACTCTGTTCACAATACTTCACTGTCACTTACAATATTCTAAAAAATGTTTTATTTGTAAAATTGGTAAAAAATTTAAATTGTTCTCAATATAATTTTGATCTTTTTTAAATATTCATTTGATGAGTACAGAAACTATTTCTCCCTAGTTGTTTCACTTTTTATGAAAAAAGAAATCATTAAAAAATCCATTTTTTAATTTTAAATTTAAAAAATTAAAATGTAAACAAACAACTTTAAATCTGCATAACTCCTGATAACTAACGTAGCTTATTTTTTTTTTATTGGTACTGCAATCCTTGTTCTTTAAGAAAAGCTAAAGTTTACTGAGGTCAGGTTAGTATATTCTTAATTTTTTTGTAATGTGTGTTAGACGGGTTTTTTTTTCTTTCGATTTACGTCCATTCGTAACTGTCAATGTTTTGCTTTTTTATTGCATGATGATATTTTAAAGTAAAAATGAGTTGCTTTTTGTTGTTTTTTATTTAATACAATGAAAACATAATGATTAGGCTTGCTCAGCAGCATTTAGTGTTTATTTTATTCAGTATAAATTTTACTTTAATTTCATTTCTTCTCTATGAAAAAATTAAACATGTTCATTAGCATTAGGCTTAAAAAAAGTATTATGCCGCTTATTTTACATTTTTACATGGGGTTTATGTTAAAATTAAAATGCTTACAATATTTTGAAGATGTTTTTAATTTTCTAGATGTTAAAGAACGTACATAAAAAAATCAAATTAGTTTTTAAATGTGTTGCTTTGAATGCGTTTTTTACACACTACTACAGTTCACAGTGAGTAAATGAGGTACTTGTCATGTTTTACTTTTTTCTACAATAATGTTACAATATCTTTTGTATTTTAAAGTTTGCAGTTGCGCTTTTAATAATGAATTTAGCCCAGACTCCTGGCACACTTGCTAGTGTTACTGCTGTTATCTGAACCTTAATGAGTGATGCGTTTCTTTTTGTGTTATTGTCAGTGTTATTCTATGCTTCAATATCTACTAGAGAAAGTGGTAAAAGATGATTTTATTTTCAAACATTGGCTTATTCGTTTCTATCCGCGCTGAAATAGTCGCAAGATTACAAGCAATTGCGAATTAAATATGTTTCTTAAAGTAAAAAATTAAAAATGTTACTTAAAAAAAAGAAACTAACAATGTTCATAACTGGATGAGCTATTCACTGAAAGTATAAGAAACTGAACAGTTAAAATTAAAATTTTATTTAACTGTTATTCTTTCTCTATGAATATCTATGTAATGATAAAATTACTTTTTGTGACAAATTTTAACTACCTCCATATTTCGGCATAAATTTTGATACCTAAGTTTAAAATGAATTTTTTATAATGAAAAAAACATTCTTGAAAAAATTTCATTTTAGCTTTAATTGAAAGTTTAATAACTAAAATTTACGATTTCTATTAATTAAACAATTCTGGTGTATTTCAGATAGAAACTATATACATTTGATTGTCAAATTTAATTTCAAATTTTTAAATTTTCTTAAAAGAAAAAATTTTTTTAATTTTAAGAAATTTGTAAACAAACACAAATTTATCGATTTTTTAAAATATTTAAAAAAATTTGACACGTTATTTTAGTAAAATTAAAAATTTAAAGTTAAAAGTAATCTGATTTCAAAGAAATTTTGTTACTTATAGCATAAAAATATAATATACAACCAATTATTAACGAGCGGTCCCGTTCATCTGTTCGATCTCATTGATAATGGTTGATTGACGATTGATGACATTACTATTGATGACCATAAATGACATAATTTTTAAGTCTAAAGTTTTAATTTTTTTTTTATTATATTTGAGTATGACACGCAATACAATACAAAAAAAAAAAAATTTATGAAGATGAAATAGTAAATGAAAAAAAAAAAAAATATAATTTAAAATTTATTTCAAAAACTTTTGAACGGAAAAATACAATTTGTTTTTTTTTAAGATAAATGTTTTGAAAATGCCAGAAATAAAGGACAAAACCCTTAGATCACATTTTTGTTATAATAATGGAAATTTATGTATATATATATATGGATAT